GCACAGCAGCAGGCGCGGCGGNCGGCGGGAATTAGCAACGGAGTAGCAGCGGCAGCAACAGTGGTGGGGCTGGGAGGTGCAGCACCAGCACCGGCAGGCACGGCAGCGGCGGGAAATAGCAACAGCAGCAGGCACGGCAGCGGCAGGATTTAGCAAAGGAGTAGCAGCGGCAGCGACGAAGGTGGGGCTGGGAGGTGCAGTAGCCTAAACGGCAGGCGTGGCGGCGGCGGGAAATAGCAATGCAGCAGCAGCGGCAGCGACGGTGTTGGGGCTGGGAGGTGAAGTAGCCTAAATGGCAGGCACGGCGGCGGCAGGAATTAGCAACGCAGCAGCAGTGGCAGCGACGGCAGTGGGGCTGGGAGGTCCATTAGCTCTAAACAGCAGGCGCGGCGGCGGTGGGAATTAGCAACACAGCAGCAGTGGCAGCGACGGTGTGGGGCTGGGAGGTGCAGTAGCCTAAACGGCAGGCATGGCGGCGGCGGGAATTAGCAACACAGCAGCAGCAGAAGCGACGGCAGTTGGGGCTGGGAGGTGAAGTAGCCTAAATGGCAGGCACGGCGGCGGCAGGAATTAGCAACGCAGCAGCAGTGGCAGCGACGGCAGTGGGGCTGGGAGGTCCATTAGCTCTAAACAGCAGGCGCGGCGGCGGTGGGAATTAGCAACACAGCAGCAGTGGCAGCGACGGTGTGGGGCTGGGAGGTGCAGTAGCCTAAACGGCAGGCATGGCGGCGGCGGGAATTAGCAACACAGCAGCAGCAGAAGCGACGGCAGTGGGGCTGGGAGGTGCAGTAGCCTAAATGGCAGGCACGGCGGTGGCGGGAATTAGCAACACAGCAGCAGTGGCAGCGATGGCAGTGGGGTTGGCAGGTGCAGTAGCCTAAACGGCAGGCATGGCGGCGGCGGGAAGTAGCAACACAGCAGCAGCAGAAGCGACGGCAGTGGGGCTGGGAGGTGCAGTAGCCTAAATGGCAGGCGCGGCGGCGGTGGGAATTAGCAACGCAGGAGCAGTGGCAGCGACGGTGGTGGGGTTGGGAGGTGCAGTAGCCTAAACGGCAGGCGTGGCGGCGG